CGGCTCAAGGCTCCCTTAGCCTTAAGGTCAGGGCCGGCTCTAAGCCCGGCTCAAAGCTCAAGGCTCCCTTTAGCCCTAAGGCCAGGGCCGGCTCTGAGCCCGGCTCTAAGCTCAAGGTTCCCTTAGCCCTAAAGCCAGGGCCGGCTCTAAGCCCGGCTCAAGGCTCCCTTAGCCCTAAGGCCAGGGCCGGCTCTAAGCCCAGCTCAAGGCTCCCTTTAGCCCTAAGGCCAGGGCCGGCTCTGAGCCCGGCTCAAGGCTCCCTTAGCCCTAAGGCCAGGGCTGGCTCTAAACCCGGCTCAAAGCTCAAGGCTCCCTTAGCCCTAAAGCCAGGGCCGGCTCTAAGCCCGGCTCAAGGTTCCCTTAGCCCTAAGGCCAGGGCCGGCTCTGAGCCCGGCTCTAAGCTCAAGGTTCCCTTAGCCCTAAAGCCACGGCCGGTTCTAAGCCCGGCTCAAGGCTCCCTTAGCCCTAAGGCCAGGGCTGGCTCTAAACCCGGCTCTAAACTCAAGGTTCCCTTAGCCCTAAACCAGGGCTGGCTCTAAACCCGGCTCTAAACTCAAGGTTCCCTTAGCCCTAAGGCCAGGGCTGGCTCTAAACCCGGCTCTAAACTCAAGGTTCCCTTAGCCCTAAGGCCAGGGCTGGCTCTAAACCCGGCTCTAANCCTTAGCCCTAAGGCCAGGGCTGGCTCTAAACCCGGCTCTAAACTCAAGGTTCCCTTAGCCCTAAGGCCAGGGCTGGCTCTAAACCCGGCTCTAAGCCCGGCCTGAGCCCCGATCGCCGCCCAAAGCCCGGCCGGCTCTGGCCCCGCCCCCGCGCTGTGGGCCACGCCCACTGCCTGTCCGTCACAGAGCGCCCCGCCTCCCGGCCAATCAGATCGCTCTCTTGCGCCCGGGCTCCGCCCATCACAGAGCACTCTGGCTGTCGACCAATCACGTCGCCCGTTGGCGTCGCGACCCCGCCTCCTGCATCGCTGGATCATCACAAAGACCGCCACTCTTTGCTCCGGCCCCCATTGTGACATTTTGAGCTTCTATTGGCTGTGGGTGAGGGGGCGGGGCTTAAGACGGCATATAAAGCGCCGCGGGCCAGCATGGCTTAGTTATCCCTCGGCGGCCGTGGGGAGCGGTGCGAGCCGTGAAGAGCGGCTCGGCCCGGCCGGGCGGTGCGGGCCGCGGCGAGCGGTTCCGCCGGGCGGGCTGTGCGGGCCGCGGCAGCCACGCCGCAGCCTCGGGGCCGGCTGTGCCTCGCGGGGCTGCGGAGGCTGTGCGCCGTGTTTGAGGGGGAAGCGGGAGCCCCCATTCTGGCCGCCCGCGGTCCCCTGCGCCGGCCCCGCCGTGTCCCTCGCCCCCAGATCGGAGGGGCACAAGGTGCCGGCCCCCACAAAGCGAAGAGAGACAGAGAGAATGCCGGCCCCCACACACCGAAGAAGGACGGAGAGCGCTCCCGGCCGGCCCAAGGCAAGTAGGCAGAACGGCCGGGGGCTGCGAGGGCGGCGGCAGGCGCGGGCCCGTCCGCATCGGAGGAGCGCAGAGGGAACGCCCGCCCTGGCCCCGCAGCGCGGGAGGCGGTGGAGCCAGCGCTCCCTAAATCGCGGGGCCACAGCGAGCCCGCGCCGGCCCCTCCAAGCGGAAAGGGGACAGCAGCTGCCCCCTGTCCCCCCCAGTCGGAGGGGCTCTGACACGGTCCCAGCTCCCCCCATATCGGAGGGCGACAGGCGCAGAGGGCTCCCCCAAAAGCGGATGGGGACCGAGGTCACCGCCGGCCTTGCGAAAGTAAGGAGGCTCGAGAAACCCCCGATCCTGCAGAATGAGAGGGACGGGGACACGTCCCTCCCGAGCATCCCCCAGGGCGAGAGGGACGGAGACCCCTCGAACAGCTCCCCCCTTTACCCCGCCCCCGCGGACGGAACAAAATAAAATCGGCAGGAATCCCACTTCACAGCACACGAAGGCTTTGGCTGATACTTGTTTTCCCAAAGAGTCACTTGTGAAGAAAATTTGAAAAAGCAAAAGCCAGGCCCGACCCCTCAGCTTGACAGACTGGTCAACGTATCCAGTCTGGTCCTTGTTTGCTAAAGAAACCTCTTGGGAAAAGGGTTAATCAGAGTGTTCCAAAATTCAGCCTTTGTCAAGCTTTTGGTGCCATTCCTCCAGACAGATTCATCTGCCCTATGGGAGCCAGGGAAACTTTGTCCACTCTCCCCTTCCAGGTGGCTCGGGAGTCTCCATCCTCCTGCCCTTTAGGGGAAGGGTTGAAGAGGGTCTATTATTGTAAATGTAATATCCCTGTAATAGTATGTATTTTTCCTTAACTTTGGCCACAGCATCCTGGGAGCCGGCAGTTCCAGGACACTTGCCTCTGGGAAGATCTTCTTGCAGAGAGCTGGGCTCTCTTTTTTACTTCCAGGCATTTCCTGACCATCTGCATCCTCAGGGATGAGCAGCTTCTGCAGACAGCCTTTTTAATTTTTTCTCTTTTTTTATTTTCTTTTATTTGTTTTCTCATATTGCTTCATAAATACCTCAAAGAAATTATCCTTCACTGCTTCTGTGTTACAGGTTGGATAGGGCTTGGAGCATCCTGGGATTGTGGAAGCTGTCCCTGGCAGGGGGTAAAATGAGATAAACTTAAAATCCCTCCCAACCCAAACCATTCTGGGTCTCTGTGTTCTGCTCAAACATACAATGGGCCCCAATAGCTGCCAATGCCAAACCTACCTGTTAATTGATGGATGAATAAATTCCTGGCAACCACCACCACAAATGGAAGGAAAACAGCTCCATCAGAGGGACCAGCAGAGGCTGAGGTTGGAAACAGGGACATCAAGGTTCCTTACAGCACAAGCACTCTTCCTGGATTGATGCTGTTGCCCTCTCCAGATGGATTCATACCCCAGCATTTTGTCAGGGAGTAAATAAAATACTGAGAGCAGATAATTGCTGGTTCCCTGTGAATGCAGTGTCCTGGTGAGGTCATGTCACTGCCACCATGGCACATCCAGCCCTGACATGGTCAGTGATGTGTCCCAGGCCACTGAATGCCCCTGGAGCTCATGGTCATTTAGAATCTTGCTGGAGACTCAATTTGGAGTTGGATCCAACCAGGTAAATGGCCTGAAAGCTACTCCCCCTAATTTTCTTGTAAGTGGGCTATGTATCAAAATGGATTTCTAGAGCAGTAAATTATAATTTAGTGCTTATTATAATATTCATTAAGAGCTGCTGTCTGCTGTAGTGTTACACCAAATACTAATTATTAGAAATTAAGGTGACAGGAGGGAATAATATTCTGAATTGTGTAAGTGGGAGTAATAAGAGCCTAGGAAGGATAAGCAAACAAAGCAGCAGGAGAATTCCCTTTCTTTAGGGAAATCAGGAATGGAATCCCTAGGGGTAATGGAATCCCCAGTAGCCCAGCACTGGGAGGCAGGGCTGCCCAGGAAGAGGCTGTGGGCAGGGGACAAAATTAATCAGAGCTACAAAGACACCAAGCAGAGGGTTCAAAGTGTTCAGTTTTGGGGCACCACTACCTGGCAGGATCCATCCAGGGGATTGACCTCCAAAGGCTCCATCTTGCCTCAATGTTATTTTTCTAGTTTTTTTCCTTAGTTTGTTTATTTTTTTTTATTCCTCTTCAAGCTGAAATTTAATTCCTACAATGATTTTGTCCCAACCTAGTCTAGTCTCTGCTCATGGCAAGCAATAGATAATCTTTAAGGTCCCTTCCAACCCAAACCCAGCTGCAGCAGGGGTGAGATGGATGCAGAGCAGGATGAACAGCCAGGGAAGCAGCCAAAGCCATGCAGAGCTGTGTGAGTGACATAGTTTTTCCAGTCCCCAGCAAAGGAGAATCATAAACTTCACTCTTTATTGTTGTCCATGCTGCTCCACACCAAGCACAGCTGTCTCCAAGGCCTCCCTCCAGCAGAACCTTTATAAATTATATTCCCTCTCCCCCGTGGTTTAATTAGGGGGGAAAAAGAATCTCATACATGGAAGTGATTCGTTTGTTGCCAGACATTTTCAGGTTTTCCATTTTCTTCTTGAGTAGGAAAAAGTCATTTACCATGTTCTTTTCTAACAGTTTCCAGGGATGTCCCACAAACACGGCCAGGAGCCACCAGTAGTCAAGCCCTGACGGAGTTTCTTTGCTTGAGTAAATCAATGTTTAGCCACTAATGGGAGCTGAATGCCCATTTTCCATGCCCCATTTGTTTTATTGCCAGGGCTGGGGTGCAGGGGAGGCATCATGGGGCAGCTCTCCAGAAATCCCAGTGAGCACTCAGAATGTTCATTCCCATCCCATAAAATGGGATGCACTCACCAGCTGGAATAACTCACAGTGCCTGGCTCTCTCTCTGTCCATCTCTATTATTTTTTATTTGGAGTTTCCACAGGGTTGTTTTAATTTGGGGAAAAAAAAAAAAAAAACCCAAAAAAAACTTGCTCAGTTTTTGCCAGCAAAACTCCCTTTGGAAGAATTTTTTTTTGCCACCGAAGGGTGTGTTTCATTTTCAGAATGCAAAGGTATCTTTTCCCCTGCCCTGTTGGTCCCTTCAGCCTTGCTGTGGGATGTGGACAGGGATGGGAGCCCTGAGCCACCTTGGGACAGCAAAGGCAGGAGCTGACCCACCCTCAGGTTGAGGTGAAGTGATTAAAGCTTGTGGCTTCCACCAGCATTTCCTGCCTGTAATTAATGCTTTTAATGAGGAGGCATATGGTAGCCCCCTCCTCCCCCGGCATTTTGCCAGGTGTGGGTTCATTAACAGCTGTTAATTACACCATGGTGTGGGTTCATTAACGGCTGCTAATTACACCATTATTCAGCATGTAAGTCAAGGAGGGCTACACCACTCCAACTGCCTGTGAATTCTGCCAAAATTTTCTTAATTTAAATGTTCTGTTTTCTCCTTATACAGGGAACTGCAGCCCTAGGGGTTTGCAGGGCAAACCCTGGGACACAGAGCCAGCGCCTTCCCTACTTTACCTGACCCCTCTCCATGCACAAGGCCTGCAAATCCAGCTGCACTCTTCCTCCTCACAGCCAGGTCATGCTTTTATTCCCAGGGGTGAGTTTTGTTGGAAGTCTGATAGTCTCAGGAACTGTAGAGGGGCTTGAAGCCATTCTCTATCTGATGGAGCATCCAGCTGCCAGGACATCCTCAGCCCCATGGATCCTCAGGGCCCCTCCTGTGTTCCAGAGCAGGAGGGCATTATCCTGGCAGGAAAACCAGTGGCTTTGTTCCCCTCAGACCTCAGCTCTGCTGCTGGGGTGTTCCTTGCACCAGGTGCTTGACATCAAGGCTCTTTCTCCTGAAATAGGCTCTTGGAAATGTTTTACCAACAGCTGGTTACAGCTTTTACATTGAGTATTATGAGGTAGCTCACTCCCAGCCTGGGGCTCTGAATATTCCTGCTCCATGCAAGTACTGGGAGAAAATGAGCATTAAAATCATCCATCTGGAAGTTCTCCCCTGTGGCAAGCACATTTCTCTCCCTTTCAGGGTTTTTCAGAGGTGCACAGAGAGAAATGAAAGAGAGAACATTTTTTATTTCTGCTCTTTGTTTTTCCCATGTGGAATGTGTTTGGAGAATTGTTTACCTGTGGTGATTACTTGGTTGGGTTCTGGTGAGGATTGTTTGAGCCTGATGGCCAATCCAACTCACCTGGGGCTGGACTCAGAGAGGGTCACGAGTTGTGTTAGAGTCAGAGAAAGTAGTATGTAGTTTTAGTGTCCTCCTTTTATATAGCATATTGATGTATTTTAGCATAGTTATAATAAAGAAATAATTCACCCTTCTGAATTGAGTCAGACATCATTTCTTCCCATTGGATTTGCCTGCATTAACAATACTCCCCCTTCCTTTCCAAGCCAGTTCCAGGTCCTGCTCCTGCATTAGCCTGGTGCTACCCTACTCACCAAGCCACTGGATCCAGCTGCTGTGGATGTGGCACTCCAGGATGTGCTGAGTGCTGGCCGTGGCAGAGCTGGGGGAACCGCTGGGATTGATGCCCAGAGGGCTTTTCCAGCCCAAGGAATTCCATGATTCTGTGAGCTGCCACAGTTCCCTGCCCAAGGAACATCAGAGATAATTTATTATAAAATATTTGATTATGGTGACTGCAGTGTGTGGGAGGATGGCATTTCTGAGAGCAGGAGGGAAGGGATGATCACAGGAGGGCCCAAGGCCAGCATGGGTTAAATCTACAGCAGGAGGCTGGGATGCTCAATCCCAGATTTAGCTGTGGACACATTTCCCTGGCTGGGGACACAGCAGGACATCAAGGGGTCAGGGAGTGGGCCGGGCACAGCCCAGTACAACCACTGTGCCCAGCATTCCCCCCACCCACCACTCCAGCCTGGCAGTGAAATTGTCTCTGTCTGCCTGGGAGAGGAAAAACCTGTGAACATGGGAATAATTCATTTTTGAAGGAAAATAGTGTTGGGGTATACAAAGTCAGTAGGGTGCAGCTTTCTACCAGTCCGTGTTTTCCTCATATTGTGTGTGGTCACTCTGGGCACAGAACACCCAGGAAAAGTGTCTCCTGTTTACAGAGAATAAAACAACTGATTCACCTGAGGAAACACGATAAGTTTTGATGTCTAGGAAAGTTACACTGAGTTGGAAAAACAGACCAACCTCCCGTGGAGCAGATCCCTGGGCCGGGCTGCTGCTGCCCTCTGCTGCCAAGTGACACTTTTCACTCTTCTCAATTCAGGGAAGAAAGAATTCCAAACTGCGTTTCATGTTTTCAATACACTTTTTTATTGAAATAACCTCTAAGTGATTCACCGGGTTAATGACTTTTAAACCTCTATGCTAGTAAAGTAGAATTAATATTGATATTTAATGATAGGACTAAACAGGAGATTAAAAAACTGATGTGGAAAGTGTCAGGGATTTTGAATTAAGCACAGAGAGAATAAGTTTAATTCAGACACAACAGCTTATCAATATTCATAACATTTTCACTTGAAAATCTGATTAAATGTTAATAAAAGAAACTTTGTTTAGTAGAAAAGGGACACTGGGCAACCAAAAAAACCCCAAACAAATATATACATAAAGCAACATAAGGTGAAGTAGGACAACGTGATGGAATTACTCATTTCCTCCAGTGGCTTCTGTTCCGGGCTGACAGAAACACAAGCACAGGCAGAGTGGTGAGGAACCCCCAGATTCCAGAAACTGAGCTGAAATTTGGTTTGATGCCAACAGATCTCATCAGAACCTTGTAGACAGCATCAGTGTCATCCTTCTCCCTGCATTTCACATCCAGGCAGTTCCCTGGCCACCGGCAAAGTCCCCGGGGCCTCACTGACCTCAGGCTGGAAACCACCTACACATTCCTACAAGTCTTACATTGTGTTCAAAGATAACATTCAGTGTTTTCAAACTCTTAGCCGGCCCAAAACTTAGGAAGTTAACAATCTGAGTTACATTTTACAGGCTTTCTCCCCTTCCTGCCTCAGGGAGGTGCAAACTGGCACAGTTCAACAGCTTTTAGACCAAATCCTTGCAGGGTGAGCAGACTAAGGGGAAGATCAGACCCGGTTATTTTAAGCAAGCTGTGTCTATGGCATCTGCTACCTTCTCCGAATTTCCCTTACATTAACTGATCATCCAGCTTCAATTTTTTGCTCTTCTCCTCAACGTCTTTCAGCACCTCCTGCAATTTCTTAGAGCTCTGTGTCAGGAGGGCAAGGCTTTCCTTGAAGTTGCCGATCCCGTACTGCCGGCAGATGTTCTCAAGCTCATCAAAGCACTGCAAAGTCTTCTCCAGCTCGGCCTTGACAATCTTCTGCTCCTCCAGCTCGGCTAGCAGCGCCTGCTCCATGGCCACCTCCGCCCTGTACTGCTCCTGCAGCTGCCGCACCTCGTCCTGCAGCGCCTGGAACTCCTCCTCGCTGCAGCGGTACTGCTCCTGCACCCTGTCCTCGGGCAGCAGCACGTTCTTGGGGATGTTCAGCACCAGCTGCAGCAGCACTTCTTCCATTTTGGTGAACAGCTTATCGAAGTGCTCCTTCATGAAGAGCAGGAATTTCTCGGTGCATTTCCGGATCTGCGAAGGGCTGATTTTGCCTTCGAACTTCTTCAGCATCACGCCCTCCACCACCTGCAGCATTTCGAAGAGGTAGTCCTGGAAGGCGATGTAGATGCGCAGCATGCAGGTCTGCGGCGTGAACCCGAAGAACTGCGCCTCGTAGGTCATGGGATCCACCGACATGGCGGCGGGGGGCCGGGGCGGGAGGGCCGCGAGGGGGAGACGGGTCTCGCAGGGCTCCCCGGCGTTACCCGAGGCGGCGGGGCCGCTGCTGCCGCTCTCGCCCATACCGCTCTCGCCGCTCCCAATGCTGCTCATGATGATGATGATGATGATGCTGCTGCCGCTGCTCCCGGCCCGAGGCCGGTTCTGAGGCCCGGCGGTGCCGCCGCGCTTTTCCCGCCTCGCTCCAACTCCGCCTCAGGGTCGCCCCGCCCGCAGCCAATCAGCGCCCGCCAGGCCACGCACCTGCCCAATCACCGAGCGCTCCGTCCCTCGCGCCCGCTGGCCTCTCGGCCAATGACAGCGAGAGGTGGTGGGCTGTCACTGCAGGACGACCAATAGGAGCGCGGAGCGGAGGCCGGGAGCTGGGTATTCGGCCAATGAGAGCGCAGAGCGGAGGGAGGGCGGTGCTGCTCAGCCAATGGGAGCGCGGGGCGCGGGGCGGGGCCGGGCCGCCAAGATGGCGTACCAGACGTTCCGGCAGGAGTACCTGCAGGTGCCGCCCGTGACCCGGGCCTACACCACGGCCTGCGTGCTCACCACCGCCGCCGTGGTCAGTGCGGGCCGCGGGGGGGAGCCGCGCCGGGGGCGGGAGCGGGGCGGGCGCGGGGCCGCCGTGGAAGGGGAGCCCTGAGGCACCGCCCCCGCTCGGGGCTCGGTGAGGGGCCGCGAGGAGCCCTGAGGGAGGGAGCAGCCCCGGGAAGCTGCAAAGCACGAATCGGTAACAGCAGCGCTACAGGGCTGTTGTATTGAGGCTCCCACTTGCCACAAACCTCTCAGTGCTGATTGAGGGCTTGCTGGGCTCTTTTTGACACACAGGAGTGGGTTGCTGTTTTGGATGTGTGTTTTTTCTTCTTACTTTTTTTTTTTATTATTCCTTGTACCGATCCTTTCAAAATGTTCTCTTCTTTTTCAGCAATTAGAACTTATCACGCCCTTCCAGCTGTATTTCAACCCTGAGTTAATATTTAAGCACTTTCAAGTAAGTGTGTTCTGAAGCACGGGAGGTTTTAAAATGTGGTGTAGAGTATTTTTAAGTGCTTGTCTTCTCAAAACGGTGTACTTCTTGTATTAGAAATACACTTTTTAAAAGCTATTCCAGCCAGAGTGCAGACCACTATGCCTTAAAATAGGTTTTCATTTCATTTTCTGTAAAGGAGATTTCCGTTTTGTTGTTACTTGCTTTCCTATTTAGACAATAAAAATAAGCTGTCATGTTTAAAGTCCTTGTATTTGTCTTATTTCCAGATATGGAGGTTAATCACAAACTACTTGTTCTTTGGACCAGTTGGCTTTAATTTTTTATTTAACATGATCTTTTTGTATCCTTCACCAAGTTGTGTTGGTTCCCTTGGCAAGCAGAGTTCCAGAGTGCAGGAATGCTGCACACAGGAAAGGTTGAATTCCTGAGAATTCAGCAATGCCAGCTTCACTGGTATCACGAATGGGCTTCAAGAATTTTGACAATTATGTTTTTGGTGTTAAGAATTTGTACAAGCCTGATCCTTCAGGTTGGTGCTCACCTGGTGCAGGAGAAAATTCCAGGTAACTTTTTTGTCTCCCGGGTCACCCTCTCTGCTGAAGTATCCAGAAAGAGCCAAGTGATGCAGTAAATGGATAAAACACTTTGAAGGTGATGTAGAATTGAATCATTTTCTGCTTGGATCTGTCTCTAAACTCACTTGCAATGGAGTTTTCCTGACCTGTGGCCTCAGATACCGCTACTGCCGCATGCTCGAGGAAGGCTCTTTCCGGGGTCGCACGGCAGATTTTGTATTTATGTTCCTTTTTGGAGGACTTTTAATGACTGTATCCTTTCTGTTTTAATTCCAAGCTCCTTTAGTAAAGCTACAGATGTGTGAAGGAGAACTGGAACCACGTTGTTACTGTTACCTTAGTATAGTTTGTTGCACAAGGAGTAGGGATATTTGTTAGGGTGGTTTTGAATATTTTGGGATTGTTGCTGGTTTTTCAGGGTCTTTTTTCTGCTTGATGAGGTTATCAGGGGACTGTTCAGGTGTGGGATCGTGCTCGGGTTGTCTGTGAAGAATTAAATTCTGCTTTAATGAGATGATCCGTGCTGCAGGTACCCCAAATCCCGCTGCAGCTTTGGATTTGATGGACGGTAGTTTGATGTACTCGCACCAGGGAAAGCAGATTTACCAGCTGTGTGGAAGACACAGGATTAGGAATTAAGCTGTGAAATTCCTGACCTCACAAGTGTTTCCTTAGCGAGCCATGGCAGCTTTTTGGGCTGTTTGTGAACCTGGTGTTCCTGGGGCAGGCGTTCACCATCATGCTGGTGTACGTCTGGAGCCGCAGGAATCCCTACGTCCGCATGAACTTCTTCGGTCTCCTCATCTTCCAAGCCCCATTCCTGCCCTGGGTCTTGATGGGCTTTTCTCTGCTTTTGGGGAACTCCATCATTGTGGATCTCCTGGGTGAGCAATGCCAGCAATCTCGAGGATCTGTTCCTCCTCATGCTTTATGTGAAACAGAAATGGGGACAAATCCAAGGGCTAAATGCCCTAACATTTGATATTAATTCTTCTGATATATTTATTATTTTATATTTTAGGCTTTTCTGATTTCTAGCCATTGTAGCATGTTTTGTGCTGTGATAAAGGATGGAAAGAGCTTTTGATGTTTTGGTTTTTTTTGCTTGGAATCAGCCCTGATGCATCATCTGACTGAAATAGCATCAGTCTACTGAAATAAAATAGCTTGTATTACTATTTTATCAATTCTAACAGAGCCAAAACATCAGTACTTTTAATAATAAGACCTTTCCTCAATATTAACATAATATAGTATAAGTTAAGCTCTTTACCTGCTGTTAGCTTTCTTCCTTAGGTTTTGTATTACTGTATTTGTATTTTCTGTGAAAGAACCAATGTATGTTGTTTTCCTGAAAACTCTAGTGTAAAGCATTTGAGAGTTGTAAAGGAGACCTAGTGAAAAATCACCTTTTGGCTTTTCTTTCTATACCAGGCATTGCCGTTGGGCATATATATTTTTTCTTAGAAGATGTGTTTCCCAATCAGCCTGGTGGTGGAAGGCTCCTGAGAACACCATCTGTCCTGTGAGTATTGGTGTCTGCTTTGGAAGAGACGTGGAAAAAATGCTTGTTTGGAAAACTGTTTGCAATTCAATCACATCAGCTTCTGGTGAATTGGGCAGAGACAGAATTGGGGAGTGTCTGTTCTTGCTTTTTATTGAACTTGCATTGCCAAACGAGGTGCTGGAATTTGTTTAAGTGGGAACCAACTTAACTGGGAGAAGAGCTATAAAGGATTTTGCCTTTGGTTTATCTGATAACACTTCTCAGGCTTTGCTGACAGCTTTTTTTGTGGCACCAAAGCTGTGTCCCCTGCTGAGTTTGAACAGTGGCTGAGGTACTACAAGTAAGATATTTGATGGGCTTTTTTCTTCTGTAAGTCATCCTTATGTCACAATTTTGGAAAAAAACAAAATCCTTCAGTGTTTATAGTATTGAGCAGTTGTGCTCCCACTCAGTTCCCTCTTGTGTGGATGCTCTAATCCCCTGTGGTCCTCTCCCACAACACCTCTGATAGTTGTTTCTCATAGAATCATAAGACTGAAGATGTCTGGCATAGAATATTTATCCATAAATATCAGAGGATGAACCCCATCAATCTTGATTTGGGATCTCCTTCCTGGTGGCTCCAAAGTGGAGAGCATAAATCCCAGTGCCTGGGCAAGCAGTTCCTGAGGGAGGCCGGTGTGCAGCGCGTGGGCTGTGAGGGCTGAGTGTCAAGGATGCCCGTGCTTTGTGTTTTGCAGGAAAGCAATATTTGACACGCCGGAGGATGACCCCAACTACAACCCCTTGCCAGAGGAGCGGCCGGGGGGCTTTGCCTGGGGAGAGGGGCAGCGCCTCGGGGGATAATCCGAGCCTGCGCCTGGCCCAGGACCCCGGAGAGCCCGGCCTGGCTCCAGCCCCACGCCCGCTCTCCCGGCCCAGCACACAGAGGGCTCGCACAGCTCTGTGGTTTGCAACACAAGCACTTTATGAAATGGCAGTCTCACCCGAGGCACTCCCAGCACCCTTCCCAGTCAGGGTGTTCATTGTGCTGGACATCATCTAAATCCAGTGGAGCCAAAAATTTAAAACTGGAAACTGTTTCCTGTTAACTTCAGTTAACAAGGCCACACAAGTACTTGTTTAAAGTGATTTCTAAAGCATTTTTTTCAAGTTATTTGATACATGAAATCTCTATGGGAAACTTTGCAGGGGAGAAACTCAACTTTTTGGGTTTTAACTATTTTTTTTATTCTTGGATAAAACAACTGCAAGATGATTGAAAGGCTAAGTCACTATTTCAATGGCAAAAGGTTTTTTAATCTGAGGTGCTGCTGTCTCCAGTCATCTTTGAACTGCAGGGAACACAACATGCAGCTTTTCTCTCTGCCAGTTGGATTTTTGAAATGTTCTGCAGGCCAAGGGTTTTTTTTTTCCCCCCAAGAACTGTGTGTTCAGGTGCCCATTTTTCAGACTGGTGGTTAATTAAATAGGTGTGCCTGCAAAATCCACCCCCTGTGCCCTCTGCTGTTACTGGATGACCTGCAGCACTAGAGAAGGAAACCTATGTGGAGTCAGGACTCAAAAATTATGATGAGTTGAATAAAATGTCTTGTGGAACCTCTTTGGTTAATCCTCTGTATCATCCTGTAGTCCTGAGGCAGCAGGTGGAGAAGCAGGGGCTGGGAAAAGCAAGTCCTTCAAGAGACAAAGATAAGTGCAGCTTTTCCCAAAGTGTCTCAGAAGTGCAGGACACAGCATTGTCTGCTCAGGATGTGAAATCTGTGGATGAAGTTTGTTGTGGGGTTGTGTCCAACACAGGCCAGTGAGACTCAGTGGCATTTAGCTTAAAGCTACATTGATTATAAATATTTCTGACCAGCCACATAGGAATTTGGAGCCCAGTTCAGCTCATTGTGGTCAGTTGTTCTTAAATCACCATAGAAAGTATCAGGTGGGGTTTTATTGATTATATCATAATAGATAAAAGGAGTTAAAGTTGCATCTTCATTCTGCATATTAGAGGATGAGCTTCCCCATTAGATGGGATTATCTCGTTTAGTCTCAGATTTTGTTTCTAAAAGCTGGCTACAGGTTTTATTTTATTTTTTTTTTTAATTTATAGTCCAGGAGAGAAATGTGTGGGGATCTCAAGGGAAATTCTTTTTCCACAAGCAGTGTGCTAGATTCTGATAAAATGTGTGGGGTAATTTCTATCTGCATTTTTGTCTGTTAAAAGTTATAAAAAGTTATGGGAGCCTTGAGGGGTTCTTTGGGTTTTTTGGTCTGGTTTTGGGGCAGTTTTGATTGTTTCTAAAACAGACTTCTCGTGCTCCTAGAGAGCAGGAATGAAAGTGTATTGGACAATGTTTCTTCAGCATAGGTTATGAGGCAGGAATTGGATCAAACTCTAATTTTGTGTGTTCTTTTTAGTTCAGTGCTTGAGAACCTCTCCATAGCTTGTGACTGGGATAAGTCCTGAGTGGGAACATGTCCCTGCGCTGCCTGCAGCCGTCTCTCTTGCTGTATAAATGCCCTCCTCGGCTGTATTTGGCTTATTTTTTATATTTGTGTCAGCCGTTCGGGGTCCGCGGTTTTTCCACGGCTCCCCGGCCCCGAGGGGCGCCCGGAGCGGGCAGCGCTGCAAATGGCGGCGGCGGCGGGACTACAACTCCCAGCATGCACCGCGTGGCGCCGCGCGGTTGCGTCATCGGTGCGCCGGGGAGCCCGCGGAGCGCGGGACGGACCGGGCCGGGCCCGTGAGGGGAGCGAGAGATGGCTCAGGACAGCGAGGCGCCTCCGGCCAAGCGGCTCAAGGCGGCGCCCCCCGGCACGCCGCCCCAGAGCGCCGCGCCGCCCGCACACGTGCAGCGCCGCTCCCTGCCCATCTCCGGAGCCCGCGGGCCGCTGCTGGCCCGGCTCCGCCGCCTCGACACCGCTGTCCTCATCGGTGAGTACCGGGACAAGCGCCCAGAAACGTTTTGGGTGTAAATTTGAAGTGTGGCGAGCAGGGAATGGAATGGTTTGTGTGCTTTGGCAGCCGGGGTTAAAGCAGCGGGGACTTGGTTTCTGTGGAGAAGGCAAAAGTATTTCCCTCTCCTTTCGCTGTCTGCCTGGAGTTCAGTCAAAGCCAGGTGGCAAAGCTCTCCTCTTCTAATGACTCCTCACTTACATTTTCACTGATTTTATTATGCTTTCTGTGAGTGCAAACGAAAAATCTTTTTGTTACACTTTGAGGAGCTGAAGATCTACAACTTCCCACCTGGTAGTCTAAAGACTTAGCATTTATTGTAAGTAAATGAGAAATGCTTCGTATGTCACTCCTGTTGGTGTCACACTTCACCTCCAGGGAGGCTGGAGTTCGTTTCTAAACGAGAGGGTGGCTGCAGAGCAGCTGGGTGGATGGAGCTCTGCAGAGGAGGGCATTGGTGGCATCTCTGACCTGCCACTGCTTTGTGGTGGGGTTTCCCTCTGTCTTCAGCTTCCCCATCCTCAAATAGGGCTAAAAGTTAACATAAAAGCCCGAATTTGACAACGCTACAAAAGTGTGGGGCAAAACCCTATTCCCTTGATATTCCTTAGGAGAAACAGGCTCGGGGAAGACCACTCAGCTCCCTCAGTACCTGTACGAAGTGGGGATTGGCCACCCCGGCACCATCGCCGTGACCCAGCCCCGCAGGGTGGCAGCTGTCACCCTGGCTGCCCGAGTGGCTGAGGAGAAGAGGACGGAGCTGGGGAGGCTGGTAGGTTATCTACAGATTGACTTTGGTTTGGTGCTGCTCTGGGGAGGGGCCCTGCCAGGCTTCAGTGGGTAGGATAATAACCAGCCACAGGGGTGATAGTGTTCATTTCATAATTAGTTTTGGGTGCCACAATGTAACAAGGATGTAAAAGCTGTCAGGGAGTGCTCAAAGGAGCAACGCAAAGATGGTGAGGGGACAGGAGGGGCCACATCATAGGAATGGCTGAGAGCACTTGGTCTGTTCAGCTGGAGAAGTGGAGAATTTGGTCAAACCTCACCAAGGTCTGCAGCTTCCTCCTGAGGGACAGCTCCAATTTCTGCTCTCTCTGGCCAGAACCAGGGCCTGAGGGAACAGCTGGAGCTGTGTCAGGGGAGGTTTATGCTGGATCTCAGGAAAGGTGTTTCCCCTGGAGGGTGCTGGGCACTGCCCAGGCTCCCCAGGGAATGGGAACAGCCCCGAGGCTGCCAGAGCTCCAGGAGAGTTTGGACAGCGCTGCCAGGAGTGCACAGGGTGGGATTGTTGGGATGTCTGTGCAGGCCAGAGGTTGGAATGGATGATCCCTGTGGGTCCCTTCCAGCTCAGGATATTCTGTGATTCTATAATTAAATTAATGGAGAAAAATGGCTCTTTACCTGTCCCATGACAGGGTGGGCATGGTCTGTCTCTGTGGTATTGTACTTTTTGATCTGGCTTGTTCCATTTGAAAAAATACTGATTTTTGAATAAAACAAAAATAAATATTGTGCTCTCTTCCATTCCTCCCTGTGTCAGAAATCACTGCCAAGGAGAGCAGAGTGCTGAATTAGTGTGGGTCTGGGGGAGAAAGGCACAGGAGAAAGACTTCCCCTGAATAAAATCCTTGGAGAGCCTGGAATAATTACAGAGAGGAAAGGGGGAAAGGGAAAGGAGGAAGAGAAGGGAAGGGAGGAAGGAAGGAAGGAAGGAAACTTGGGGGCATTTGAAATGAACTTCTAGTTAGGAAGAAGAGATGTTGGCAGTATCATTTGGGTGGCTTGCTACATTTGGAAGAGGAACTGCTCTGCTTTCCAGAGCCTCCATGCCCCTCTGGTTGGCTCAGTCCAGTGCAGTGGCCAGGGCTTTGTGGCCCTTCCCTGTGGCACGGGGGCAGTGAGAAATGCCATCTGTGCTCCCTGTGCTCCCTTCCCCAGGTGGGCTACACGGTGCGCTTCGACGACTGCTCGTGTGCCGAGACCAGGATCCGGTTCCTGACGGACGGGATGCTGCTGCGGGAGGCCATCGGGGACCCTCTGCTGCACAAGTACAGCGTGGTCATCCTGGACGAGGCCCACGAGAGGACCATCCACACGGACGTGCTCTTCGGGGTGGTCAAAGCCGCTCAGAAGAAGCGAAAGGAGCGGGGCCTGCGGCCACTGAAAGTGTGTTTACCCGGGATGGCAGTGAAGGGCAGGGTGGGGCTGGGCTCTGAGTGCTCTCAGCATCTCCCAGGGCCTTCCAAAGGTTTGGAATTTCAGCTTTGACCGTTTTTCTGTTCCTAAAAAGTCTCTTTAAATCTCAGTAGTTAAGGGTGTCTGACTTATGGTGAAGTGGGCCTGGTATGACACCTCTGAACAAGGTATCTGGTCACCACCACACCTTTTTTCCACCAAAACCCCTTGGGTGTGAGCTCTAGGCTAGACAGAGTGCTTGGGAAGTTTTGGCACTGCTTCTGAGATCACTGCAGGTGCAGAAGCTCTGGCTGATGGGACATGCTCATTCCCAGGTAGAGCATTGCACATGGGATGGGTGGATGTCACTACTGGGCATTAAATAAGTACACAGCAGCTTGGTAAGTTCAAAAGAGGAGAAGACCCAGTTTTATTCCAACATCTGGTATTTATAGAATTCCAAATGTGACTGTGGATTGGAGGATGGAATTACCACCTCTCCAACTACACTGGTCTAAAGATCAATTAACCATTTCTCTCCACCCACAGAGAAATATGTAAGCTATTCTATTTCTATATGAAACTGTGGGAACTCTGACTCTCAAATATGTAAACATTATCAGAAGGCTAAAGAAGTTTTATGAGAACTTTAAAACTTTCAAAAGAAGCATAAAAGAAAACACTTAAAAATCAGGGCAACAGGTGGACATGTCAGGAATTTGTGTGAAAGCACATTGGCTTTGCTGGAGGGGCCTGGCAGGGGCTTTGCATGGTCTCGTTCCACACACCAGCCCATTCTGTCACACCAGCATTTTCTGCTTGTGGTAAAAAGCTGATGGCTTTAACAAGGAGAAATCACTCTCTCCTGTCCCAAAGCCTGTGAGTTGTTCTCAGCATGGTTCTCAGGATCCAGAGGCTGACTTTTGGCTGGTCCTGGCTCATTGGTGTCCAGCTGGATGGAAGCTGTAGTGCTGACCCATGCTGTGCTCCCCCAAAGGTGATTGTCATGTCAGCCACGATGGATGTGGACCTGTTCTCCCAGTACTTCAATGGAGCTCCTGTCATCTATCTGGAGGGCCGGCAGCATCCCATTGACATCTTCTACACCAAGGAGCAGCAGAGTGACTACCTGCAGGCAGCACTGGTGTCCATTTTCCAAATCCACCAGGTATGAGGGTCTCTCCAGGTTTGTGTCCCTCTGGGGCCAGGGGTTGTTGTTTTGTGCTGGGGTGTTTGACTGCCAAATACCTGGATTGTTGTGTTGTTCCATTAAACTGCATTTATGTTGGGGTCTCAATGCTGGGCTGACCTCAAGGTGATAAAAGTCCATTTCAAGTTTCCCTAGCCCTGCAGCCAAAGTCTGGAATGCGTCTGATTGTGTTTTCAAGGTTGTTTATTTCTCCTTATCTATAACATTCTTTCTCTGAGCTTCCGAGCTCTGGCTAGCAAGGAGGCTGTGGCATTCTGTCTGCCCTCTCGGGCAGTGTTTACCTTTTATATCAAAAGTTGCCTATAGTCTGTTTACAATAACATGCCAATATCTAACATATGTGTTGGACAGTGAGTCTCTACCTTAAATCAGTAGAAAAGTGTCACCATCACACCAAGACAGGGAGGACAAGAAGGAAAAGAAGGCTAGGACACACCCAGATTCCTCTATCTTGATGCCCTGAACTACATTCTAAAAACCCCTTTTTCACCCTGTGTTAATCCAAATATCACACTACTCAAACCCTTGTGGCTTGTAATTCCTCATACAAAGCTGGCAGTTCTTTCCATGGGCTAAAATGGAAGCCACAGGTTTTTTTTTACTTCATGCCAAAGTCTCTGAGCCCCCTGCCAGGGTCTTGAGATAGCCAGGGCAGCCAGAGGGATGTCCTGGACTCTGACATATTTTGTGCTTTGAAGTGGCTGCTGCTGTTGGGATTTGGGCCCTGTGTGTCCCGGCTGGAGCTGAAGGGAGACTGCCAAGCAAAGCTCTATAATATCAACTCACGCCTAAAACCTGAATGTTCCCCTCAGCTGAGTTCTCTGTACCTGGGTGCTTGCTGGCTCTCTCTGCCTGACCTGGACAGTTATTTGAGGACACAGAAATGCCTCCATCCTTTTGATACTCGATCCCTCAAAATGTAATTTACTTTTTGTCTCTGGTGAATCCATTGGGAGTTCTGGCTGTTGCATACCTTGCACCACATGTGTGTCTTTTCTTTCTTCTTAGCCTGCTTCAGTGGCTTGCTGCCAGAGCCACATCTCATTACCAATCTCAGTTCTCCTTTTCTATCCAAACCCTCCTAACTTGCTTTTTCCTCTGGTTCCAGGAAGCCCCTGCATGCCAGGACATCCTGGTGTTCCTGACTGGTCAGGAAGAAATTGAAGCAATGACCAAAACCTGTCGAGACGTTGCCCAGCACCTCCCCGAGGGCTGCCCACGGATGACAGTGCTGCCCCTTTATGCTTCTCTGCCCCACTCCCAACAACTCCGTGCCTTCAAACCTACCCCTGAGGTGAGGGAATAGGAGGGGTTTCGCTTCAATGAGTCCTTGGATGAAACATATGGACTTTAAGGGGCTAAAGCAGTGTGTACTGATAGTAATCAATAGTCTCTGTTGGCTTTAGGCTGAGTGGTTCCAGAGATATAATACACTGCAACTGTGATGGTTTTAATAGATGCATTCAGTAAGTCACATGGGATCATAAAAAGAAGGAAAGATTAGAAGGCACAGGAATTTAAATTTCCTCCATTTCATAGGAATTTTTTGTCCATATCACAAAAAAGCTACAGCAGCTAATGGGGGAAATACTGAGTAAGCTGAAAACCTGAGAATGTTTGTCAGGGCCATAAGGAAAGGAATACATGCTGCCTCAGGCTCTTTTTTACCTACTCAACAGATAAATAAGACCACAAATGTTGTGCCAGAAATGAAACCAAAATTGTTGAAAGATGTGTTGAGAACAGTTATTCTGGTGTGGTGTATTTTGTTGCAAATGCAAACTAATGTGTTAGAAGCTGATTAGAAACTGAAGATTACCTCAGTTTCTGAGAGCTGGCACAGTAAGCACAGTTGTGTTCACAATGTGGGGGAGGGATAGGCCCACAGAGGCCAAAAGCAGCAGAATTTGTGTTGCAGCTGCTCTAAGGTGGCCTTGACCTGGGTTTGATTTTCTTTCCTCCCAGGGCTGTCGCAAAGTTATCCTCTCCACCAACATCGCGGAAACCTCCATCACCATTGCGGGCATAAAATTTGTTGTGGACACGGGCATGGTCAAAGCCAAGAAGTACAGCCCTGGTGAGGAGTTCTGAGGAGGAACAGGGCCAAGATTTGGGTCTGGGTTTGCAGAAGTTACTGGAGGCCGTAAGTGCTGCTGGAAGAGGATTTCAGACACCCTCCATGCTGTTTAAATTAACGACCCAGGTTTGGGGTGTGGGGTTTGGTGGTGTTTTTGTGAGGTTTTTTTGAGTATCAGCCATGAGGGGTTAAAAATCTGTCAAATGCCACTTCTCTTCAGGGACACAGCATGGGATGGTTCACTGTGCTTCACAGCGCTGAACCAAGTGAGCTCTGAGCTGGATTTGAATGGCAAACCCTGGGAATTCTTACTGCTAATCAATCCTCTGTGCTTTCCAAAGCTGTGCCTTGCTCAGGCAGTGGCTGAGGTGATGCTTTTCCATGCCCAGAAACTGGCCTGGAAGTGCTGGCAGTGCAGCAGGTGTCCAAGGCCCAGGCCTGGCAGCGCACGGGCAGAGCTGGGAGGCAGGAGAGCGGGATCTGCTACCGGCTCTACACAGAGGAGGACTTTGAGAAGTTTGAGGAAATGACAACACCTGAGATACAGAGGTGAGGACAGAGCCATCACACCCCTTGCCACACCTCTTTTACAGCTGGAGCTGTGGGAAGAACTGTGCAGCAAAACTGGATCTAGAGGCTGGTGGGGTGACTTGAGAAAAATGGAAGTGTGGGGACTAGACAGAAAAACTGGGAAATGTTTGCTCAGGGTGGGCAGTTGGGCACTGAGTCTCCAAACACCTAAAGCAATAGTTCTGACTGTCCTCCAGAGTTTGGACTTGCCTCTTCCTGGTTTAGGAAGTAAGGCTTCACCAGCAGCATCAGACTTGTCTCTGTCAAGCTGCAGCACAGACCTGAGATTCTATCTCAGCTTCTACAAAAAAAAGAATAAAATAAGAGAACTGTCTCAGTTGTTTATTCTGCCTATGCAGGTGTAACCTGGCTAGTGTGGTGCTTCAGCTCCTGGCCCTGAAAATTCCCAATGTGCTCACCTTTGACTTCATGTCCAAACCATCTCCTGGTAAGTGGCTACAAAGGAAGCCTTGGGGAAAAGAGCAGGGACATAAGGTGTCATAACAACACAACATAAAGGTGTGCCCTGACTGCCAGGGGAAGAGTAAATGGGGTGCTTGTTCTCTTGGGATAGAGGAGGATAAACTACATTTCTCTAAATGGAAAATACTTGTCCCTCTGGCCAGAGGAGGGAGGCAGTGATGGAACCAGCTGATCTTCACATCCCTCAGTGGGAGGCAGGAGGCCTCACAGTCCTTGTTTTGACAGATGCTATTCAAGCAGCAATTGATCAGCTGGACCTGCTGGGGGCTGTGACCCACAAGGAAGGTCAGCTTGTCCTGACCCCCTTGGGAAAGAAAATGGCAGTCTTTCCACTGGATCCAAAGTTCTCCAAGGTAAAAACTGAAAAAAAAAAACAAAAAAAACCAACCAAACAAAAACAAAACTTTTTAAATCTCATATATTCATCTCTGTACCATTGATGTTTCTCTTTCAAACTCCTTAAACAAGGTGTGAAATTTGGGGTGTTTGCAGTTCTACTGGTATATTTGCTGTACATTAATGTACATAATTTACAGCCCTTTTGCTGGCTTGCTTGTCATTTGTTGTTAAATTTAGGGAAGTTTTTTAAAAGAGACTTTCTTTACTCTGGCACCTCTGAAGGTGAACAAGACAAATTTGTGTGCAATTTTCAGGATTGTTTGGCAGGTCCATGAAATGTCTGTTGCTGTAGCTGGTTTTTCACTGTGTTTGTGCTGGTTGTGCACTGGTCAGTCTCAGGAAGGAGCCTGGCAGGTGTTAAAGGTGCTTGGTGAACCCATCAGAGGATTTACAGCTGTTCTTAGGCTCAGTTTATGAGATTGCCCTAAACAATGTTTGGTGGAGTTCCTGGACTGCCAGGGAGCAGAAAGATCTGCCCAGCTGAAGAGGATTTGGTCAGCCAAAGATGAATTTTGTTGTGTCTGCGCAGGCCATCCTCCTGTCACCCAAGTTCCACTGTGCAGAGGAGATCCTGACCATCGTGTCACTGTTATCAGTGGACAGTGTCCTCCACAACCCCCCTGCCCAGCGGGATGAGGTGCAGGCTGCCAGGAGGAAATTCATCTCCAGTGAGGGGGATCATCTGACCCTGCTCAACGTGTACAGGGCCTACAAGAATGTCAATGGGCACAAGGTGGGATGATCTGAGCTGCCTGAGCTCATGGGGTGAGGGGATTTTGGCAGAGAGCAGAGTTGACACCTGCATCTTCCATGGCTGGTGCCACAGGCATCCATCCTCCAAAGCAGAGAGAAAAGAGGGCCCATCCTTTACAACTGGGATTGGAGGAAGTTCAGTAACAAAGGTTCCTACAGAAAGCTCTGGCAAAGCTTTGTGGGGCCAGTTCTGTAATCACAGCCAGGGCTCTTCCTTTCCTGGTTCCAGCTGGAAACAGAAGGGAGTGGGAGAGTGTTGAGATTTGATGATACATATCTGGACATGTTCTGGGACAGGATTCATTGGGAAAACTTTGAGCATATTTAAAAGTAGATTTGGGTTTATCCTACTCATCAACCCCTCACTGATTTGTGAATCTGTGGACTCATGTACCCCATTCCTTGCAACATCTGACATTCTTACCTGATTTATTTTCATCACCTGCAGGATAACAAGGGCTGTTTTGCAGCTCTTGGTGGCCTTGCTGAGCAGCTCTGAGAGGGAAAAGAACCACCACCTGCTGTTTCTGAGAAGAGTGGGAGGGAATCTAGACATAGTGGAGTAAAGGGAGGTAGAAATATGACCAGGAAGGGGGTCAGCACGTTTTCTCCGAGGCAGATTGTAGAGGGGATTCTGCTTTTTGTAGTATCTAAAGGCTGTCATGCTCCTGAGGTGAAGAAATATCCCCTTCTAACTCCTGGTGTCTCTGCTGCAGGGATGGTGCAGAGAGAACTTTATCAATGGCAGGAACATGAAGCTGATGGCAGAAGTCAGAGCTCAGCTCAGGGACATTTGTATAAAGGTAACTTGCTTCCATATTTCTCTGTTTCACCTGTTGGTATTTTCCTGTTTGTCCCCAAACTTATGTTACTGTGCACCAAGTCCCAAAGAGTGAGAAAATGGGGGATTGTTTTCAGTCTCCTGTAAATAGCTGGCTAAAATTCCTGACTGTGCAGTTGCATTCTAAAATCTTAAAGCTGCAGGGCTTAGTGGGTCAAGGAGAAATGAGAACTTTTAAGAAGACTTCTCAGGGAAGGACCAAGTTTTCCTAAGGGTTTTTCCTGCTCTAGTGCAGGTGGCACTGTGCTGTCTGTGCCACAGAGTGCTGGCAGCCTGTTCTGGCTGGCTTCTCCATGGAGTCAGGCATTCAGTGTGGCAGCAGCTTCCCCTCAGTGCTGTTCCTGCTGGGCACAGCGTGGGAGCTGCCACTGAACCCCTGGCAGTCTGCAGTGACATGGGGTCTTGTGGGGTGTCATTTGTGAATGCTGGTCTGTGGCATTCCCATTCTCTGGACAGAGAGACACAATTCTGTCTCTCAGGAGAAGCACAGAGAGAAGAGAAAACAATCTTTATCTCCGCTCCTTTAATTTTCCCCACGTGGAATGTGGTGTGGAGATTGTTTATCTGAAGTGATTGCTGGGTTGGATTCTGGTGAAGGTTGTTCAGGGCCAGTGACCAGTGGATCCAGCTGTGGCTTGGGCTCTCAGCACAGAGTCACGAGTTTGTTTGTTTGTTAGTTAATAGGGAAGTAAGAACTAAGTATGTAGAATAGTGTAGTATCTTTTTAAATAGTATATTAATGTAATATAATATAGTCTTAATAAAGCAGGTCCTTCAGCCTTCTGATCTGGAGCCAGACATCATAATTTCTTCCCGTTGGGGGTTACCTGATTTCCTATAGCTGGTCAGCCTTACACTCACTTCCAGCAGGAGAGTGACGATCCATTTTGTTGGCCCTTAGTCTGGCTTAGCCTAGCATCCCCCCAAGCTGAATTCCTTAGTCCCCCAGCGTGCTCTCCCAGGAGAATCCCCCAGTCTTTCTGCAGTGGAGCAGGGCTGTGCCCCTCGAGGCTGCCCCGGCTCACTCCCGTCTCTCCCAGCTGTCGATGCCCCTCGAGTCGTGCCGCGGCGACACGGGCAGCGTGCGGCGCTGCCTGGCCCACGGGCTGTTCATGAACGCGGCCGAGCTGCGGCCGGACGGCTCCTACGGCACGGTGGACTCGCAGCAGGCGGTGGCCATCCACCCCTCCTCGGTGCTGTTCCAGGCCAAGCCGGCCTGCGTGGTGTACACCGGGCTGCTGCGCACCAGCAGGTGCTACATGCGCGACCTGTGCGTGGTGGACGCCGAGTGGCTGCACGAGGCCGCGCCCGAGTACTTCCGCAGGAAGCTCCGCATGGCCAACAACTGACCCTGGGACCAGCTGGCTTTTTCAGCTCCGCCTTGAAAGACTTATTTTTCTAAAAATTTAATGGATAGATGTATAACCGTGTTTTTTATAACCTCAAGGAACGGGATGGGTATTTATTTACATTATGTGTTTTTTCCAGAATAAAGAAGTGATGGTGAAAATCCCAATCCTGGGTGTTGTTTTGTGAGGCACAGAACAAATGATCATAGGAACAGTCCTGGTGTTTATGGTTCTCATGGGAGTGTGTTCGTTGTCAGCAGTCTGGGCTTGAAGATGTGAAGGTAGCACAGTGAATCTGTGCTTCTTGTGCAGAATGGACTCTGCCATTTACATGTGCAGTGCTCAGATTCCTGTGGGGAATTGGGAATTAAAATTCTGGTCCTTTGATGGGGTGGGACAGATGCTTTCCTTCTCCTGCCTTGCAATGAGCAGCAAATGAGCCTTCTGTGCTTCTCAATAGCGGGCACTAGTGCCAGCTTCTGACAAAGGGAAGACTTGGAGCCAGAAAACACTGCCTTAGTCACTGTTTCCTCTAAAATACTCTTTCATTTTTCTTGTTCTGAGGAGACTGCCATGCTCTGGCCTGTACACTAGCAGTCATAATTAGGAGTGGGAGGATGTCTGGGATAAAACTCGTGCATGTCTCCCACATTCCTAAAACTCTCATTGTGCCTTCACTCCTGTCTGGGTGCTGTCTGTGCCATCCCTGGTCATTCCATTGTCAGGGATCCCAGGAACCAGGTCCGCCGTTGGCACACTCCATCCTGCCAGGACCGGGACTCGAACCCGGGGTCTCACCGTGCTGGGAGTCGAACTCAGGATCTCAGCGGGACCGGGACTCGAACCCGGGATCTCACCGGAACCGGGATTCGGACCCGGGGGTCTCATTGGGGCCGGGACACGAACCCGGGGGGTCTCACCAGGACCGGGACTCGAACCCGGTGTTTCATCGGGGCCGGGACTCGAACCCGGTGTCTCACCAGGACCGGGACTCGAACCGGGTGTCTCACCGGGACCGGGACTCGAGCGCGGTACCTCATCGGGGCCGGGACTCGAACACGGTTCCTGATCGGGGCCGGGACTCGAACCCGGTGTCTCACCGGGGCCGGGACTCGAACCCGGTGTCTCATCGGGGCCGGGACTCGAATCCGGTGTCTCATCGGGACCGGGACTCGAACCCGGTACCTCATCGGGGCCGGGACTCGAACACGGTTCCTGATCGGGACCGGGACTCGAACCCGGTGTCTCACCGGGGCCGGGACTTGAACCCGGGAGTTTCACCGGGACCGGGGCTCGAACCTGGTTCCTCACCGGGACCGGGACTCGAACCCGGTCTCAAGGGGCCGGGACTCGGGCCCCCCTACCGGCCGAGCCGGGACTCGAACCCGTGGCTCGGGAGCCGCGCGGGGCGCGCCGGGGCCGGAAGCGGAGCGCGGTTCCGGGGCGGGCACTCCTCGCCGCCCGCTCCGCACGATGCTCCTCGCCCGCTCCCTGCGCGCCGCCGCCGCCGCCGCGCTGCGCCCGCCGCGGCCCGCGCCGCGCCGCCCGCTCAGCTCCGCGTTCCCCCGCGCCCTGCTGCCGCCGCCCGCCGCCGCGCCGGCCCCGGCGCGCTCGCTGTGGCAGCTGGGCGGCGGCGCGGGGCGGACGGCGCTGCTGCGGCCGCGGCGGGGCTCGGCCGGCCGCGTGTCCTGCGGCTGCGGCGGTCTGCACACCGAGGGTGAGCGGGGCCGGAGCGGGGAGGGCGCGGGGCGGACACGTGCGCTGCACCCCCTCCGAACTGGGAAGCACGTGGGGCGGCGGGGGCTTTCCCGACAGCCCTAAGACAGCTCCACCTTTCCCTAATCCCCGTTCTCACTAAACCACCTGTTTCCCTAAATTCCGGCATCGCCTAAGCCCCCTTTTCCTCTACATCCCCTTCTCTACCTCCTCTTTCCCTACTCCCCCTTCCCTAACCTCCTTTTTCGCAACTCCCTTTTCCCCAAACCCCCTTTCCCTAACTCCTTTTTTCGTTCAGACCCCCATTTTTCCAACCCCCCTTTTCCTACTCGCCCTTCCCTTAACTCCACTCCCCTTTTCCTTAACCCTCCTTTTTTTAACTCCCCTCTTCCCTTACCCTCCCTTTCCCTAGTCCCCCTTTTTCCTAGCCCCCTTTTCCTAACCCTGTTTTCCAACACCTCTTTTACCAACACCCCTTTCCCTCAACTCACCCCCCACCCCATTCCTTCATTCCCCCTCTCCATAACCCTCCCTTTCCCTAACCTCATTTTCTTTCCCACCAGGAGACAAAGCCTTTGCGCAGTTCCTGACGGACGAGATCAAGGAGGAGAAGAAGATCCAGAAGCACAAATCCCTGCCCAAGGTCTCCGGGGGCTGGGAGCTGGAGGTCCATGGCACAGAGGCCAAGCTGGTGCGGAAGATCGCGGGGGAGAAGTGAGTGGGGTCTGGGAAGGGTCCCCAGCACCCGAGGGCGGGTGGGTGACAGTGACCAGGCTTCTCCTTCTGCTCACTCCCCAAACTGTGCCCTGCAAACGCTCTTGGTTTGACCACTTTGGGCCAAAGGCGCTTTTCCCACACCGGTTTGTTACTGTGTTTTGTGTTACAAAGTTTCTCACGGGCTTCCCGTTTTAGAAATAACAGTTCAGTAAAACTTGAAAAAGTGAGAGCGCTTGGAGGGAGCAGCTTCTCCCAGGTGTGACTTTTAACTGCAATGCCTGGTTTTGTTCACACTGCGAATTCTGAATGAGGGCTTGAGAGACCCATTCTGATGGGCGTTTCTTGGGTGTGTTCAAAAGAATTGTGTCTGTTTCTTTTGCAGGATAACGGTTACATTCAACATCAATAACAGCATCCCACCCTCGGCTGAAGAAGACACACAGGAACAGCAGAAGCCTGATGAGCAGGAGGTAACGTAGCCTTGATGTGCTTTAAATGCTGGGGACACAGACCAAAGTTGGAATCTTGCCTTAGGGAACTTGGAATCTTGTCCTCGAGTGTTGAGGCTTATGTGATGTTTGGGAGCATTAAAGCACAAAATGCAGATTTTCCAGGGCTGCCTGTCCCCTGCCTGACCTCCCTCTCCCCTGCAGAAAGGCAGAGCAGGATGGGAGGGCTCTGTGAGGGGAAGTTAGAGGAATTGTGAGGCTTTCTAGCACCTTCCACTATCAAAAAGGTCTGGAGGAGAGTGGGAGAGGGAAACTTTGTACAAGGGAATGGAATGACAGGTTATGGGGGGATGGCTTTTAAGTGATAGGGAGTGGGGCTAAATTGGGTATTGGGAGAGATTGTTCCCTGTGAGGGTGGTGAGGTTGTGTCTGCTCCATCCCTGGAAGTGTCCTGGATTAGGTTGGATAGGCTTGGATCCACCTGGGATAGTGGAAGGTGTCAGGGAATACAGAACAGGGCTGTGCTGTGATTGCTTTGGCTCCTGTTCAGATTCAAGTGCTGATGCAACTGTTTTCTTATTTAGCCTGAACTTACATCAACTCCAAATTTTGTTGTGGAAGTAATAAAAGATGATACAAAACAGACCCTTGTGCTTGACTGCCATTTCCCTGAAGATGAGGTGAGTGCCCCTGTTGGATTTAACTGCTCTTTGTAATCTCTTGCTTTTCTGAATCAGCACAATATGCAGTCTCCTCTTATTTCTTTTTTCTCTTAATCACAAAAAAAAAAAAAAAGGTTTTAAGTTTGCAAGAATAGTGGGGAGGAAATGTTTATGGCATTCTTCACATCCTGCCCTGGTGTTTCTGATCAGCCCTTATTGGGCTCTTTATTGAATTACAGTAGAGAAGTAGGGATTAAAAAAAAGGAGGGAAGAAAATAAAATCGAGAGCTTTTGCTCACACTGGTATTTGTGGTTTATTTTGTAAACATTAGGAGATGTTTAACAGTCCTGGCTGTTAAAGGTGAGATGGACATGGGAAGACTCGGAAGAAGTTTTTATATATTTTTAAACCTCGAGCTGCTGATTTAAATCAGGTCCCTTCTGGCAGCACAAGCTTAGAGGTTTTCCTGAGTTCTGTGCATATCTGTGCTTGTCCTCACAGGCACATGGTGAGAGGGGAAAGCTTGTCTGGCCTTGGGACTTTTCCTGAGGGATTCCCAGCCTGGGGATGAGCTGGCTGAGCTCATTAGTGCCCAGTAATTGCAGCTAATTGCATTTGTTTTCCTGCCTCAGATTGGAAATGAAGGAGAGGAAGAAAGTGATATTTTCACAATTCGGGAGGTCAGCTTCCAGCCCACTGGAGAAGCTGACTGGAAGGACACCAACTACACCCTCAACACGGATTCCCTTGACTGGGTAGGTGCTGCTAAAGGCCACAGAGGGCACTCAGCTCACCCCACCTGGCTGTCCTCTGCTCCTGGGTTGGGAATTAAACCTGTCTGGATGTCTGAGACAGGGACTGGCCCTGCTCTGCCCCTGAGCTGGTGATTCTGCTGCAGCCTGAGGTGTTTCCTGGTCCCAGGGTTGTGCACTGCTGCTGGCGTTACCAGGAATCAGGACAGACAGGAGGAACTCCTTCCCTTCCAGATTTTATAGGTGGATTTCCCAGCAGGGAATCACGATCTGGAAATGCTTTGACACTTGTCTTTTGATCTGTGTGTTTAACAATGTGGCTTATCAGACACCATGTGTAGATAAAAGCATCTGTGTGTGGTGTCTGAAAAAATACATTGTGTCTTGGTTTTCCAGGTGTGTTGATAGAGTTGTAACACTAAAAATACACAGTAGAATCTGTCTGTTCTTATGTTCTCAATGCCAGGATTTAAAAAGCTACAATTTTTAGTTTGAGGCTGTCACGTGTTTAAAACTGAAAGTAGAAATAAGTCCTAGAGTGTATCCCCTTGAGAAGCATCCATGTTAAAATTGCTTAGTGTGCTGCAGACCATCCCACACTGATTATTCTTTTTTTCCCGTGTCTTAAGATATTAAATTAATTTAAAATGTGTATGAAAGGAAAAAGCCAAGCTCATGACTGTAACACTGAAGCCTTCCAAACAAACTTGTACATCAGATACCTTTACAAAGCATTAGTTCACCCCGGGGTAGAGGGGACAGGCAGAGCTTGGCCTGTGTCATCCTTGGCACAGCTCCCCTGATGGCTCCCACAATCTGGGGATCATCTCCAGGGTGCAGCTCATTTGCAGTTGGGTTTGGGTTTTTATTTTGTGTTCCATGGCCCTTTCTGTCCAAATGTTCCACCCAAGGTCAGGCCTGCCCTCTGTGGTGGTGCCTTAGAGGCTGCCTAGAACAGAGGCTAGACAGTGTTAAAGGAATAAAATAGGGATTTATTAAAAGGCCTTAAAGGATACACCTTGGGCAGGACAAGAGCCCAGCCAGGGCTGCACCCTAGATGGGTGATGAGTCAGGAGTTTTCACACTTTTATAAGTTTTAGTCCATTTTCATATTGGGGTTCATTGTCCAATTCTCCTGGTGATGCAGTCCCAAATTGCTCTCCCAGATTGCTCTTCTCAATTCCCTGTTGTTTGCACTTTTTGGGCCTGAAGCTGCAATGGTGTCCTTGGTTCTCAGGCTGGAAAAGGATTGTTCTGTCTGACTGAACTGTGAGGAGAACTTGCTAACACTCCTGAAGTTCAGAGTCACACACTAATGCAGTACAGAATCTGGAAAATGCGAAAGGCATCAGTGGGAGCTGGGCCTGATTTTCCTGGGAGGAAGTGCCAGTTTCCAGGGGACATTTTAATCCACCCCCTCCCCAGGTGTGTTCACTAAGGAAGGTTTCTGTTCCTTGCTCCAGGCTCTCTACGATCACCTGATGGATTTCCTGGCTGACCGAGGAGTGGACAACACCTTTGCTGACGAGTTAGTAGAGCTCAGCACTGCCCTGGAGCACCAGGAGTACATTAAATTCCTTGAAGACCTTAAAAGCTTTGTCAAATGTCAGTAGGTCAGGCTAGGAAATTTAGCCTCAAGTGTGGGTATTCCACAGTGCTGCTTCATCCAGCAATACCCAAATATATCTTCACAGTGGATACAGAGAGTAAGTAACTTGGAAGGTGGAGGAGAAGGATTCTCCCTTGGATTTGGAGATTTGTAGTGATGGTGCAGCCCCAAGTTCTCTGATGCTACAGGCCAGAATTGCCTCGCCCTGCATGGGGCTTTTTGTACAATTTGAGAGTGAATGTGAAGAATAAAAACTGTTCAACATATCAGTGAAAAAGGTGGTTTCTCTTCTTCCTGCTGTACCAGTGCTGCCATGAACGTGATGGTAGAGTTTCTCTGTGCCAGAGCTGCTCACAGAGTAGTTGTGGCAGTGATGGTTGAGTATTTCATACTTAAACTGATGCCTCCAATTGTTATTTGAAGGTTTTAAGTTCATGTTAGTTAGTTTATTTATTTAAGATTCACTTAAACTCAAAGAGAACGCTGAAGTGCAACATGAGCTGTGAGATCACTGATGTATTTAAGTATTTAAGACAACACCAAGGCCAAAATAAACTAAATATATTTATTTCAAAACATGTCCTGTGTGATTAAAAGTGCAGGTCAAGGCAATACTACGCCTTTAGGAGTGTCTTTTTGACACAGCAGTTAGAAGTATGTACACAAGAGTCCTAGCAGCTCTGGGTAAAGTTTAGTATTAAAGTCTTCCAGAAGTAAAGCAGCAGCTGAATCACCTTAGAGGAGAATCATCCAGGAGTCACAGACCTTCACAAAAAAAGTTCAACAGAGAACTGTGTTAATGTATAATGTTCAAAACTGTTTGAACAGGAAAACTACTGACAGGGGGGAAAAAAATCACAGAAGAGTTGTTGAGCACTGGAAGTGGTGGAGTCACCATCCCTGGAGAGATTTAAAAGACATGCAGATGTGGCACGTGGGGACATGGGTTAGTTGTACCCTTGGCAGTGGTGGGGGAATGGCTGGACTTGATCTCAGGGGTCTTTTCCACCTTAAACAATTCCATGGCTGTATTTGAAATGCTCTGGCCCTGCCACTGTCCTCACACTGTTTCACACAGCAAAGCAAGCACCAGCTCTAGCTTGAGCCAGAGGGCTGCTGTGTGTTCTCTGAGACACCTGGATGAAGGTTTTTCAGGAGGCTTAAACAAGGAATTTTTTAAAACTTTTCTTCATGAACCACTTACCAGATGGTGCACACAATACTTAAAAGTTGTTGGCTGAAGTTAGGGCACTGAATTTGACAGCTTCCCTAATCCAGCAGTTAAAGGTGTGTGCTTTGGAACTTCTCTTTTATGGTTACTGGTGGTCAGAGGTAAAGCCATTTCCAAGGAATTTTGTGAAAAAACAGCCACATAAACCCCAGGGATCAACAGACTTGTGGTTTCTGTCCATGTAATTGAGCCATAGATCCAAGAGGGATCCTTTCCAGGAACCTGACATTTACACTCACGGAGCAGCTCATCAGCAGACTGGCTTCCTCCTCCATGCCACTGGTGACTGTGAACTCGGGGCTGTGCAAGCACCTCTGGCTGTGCTCTGTCAAGGTGCTCTCCAGAAGTGACCGAAGCTTCCCTTCTGTCATATCCTGAGAATAATTCATGAAAAGCCAGCTGAAGTTCCTGTCTGTAGCTTAAAGCTGCAGCAGAGATGCCACACACAACGTGTCACAGTGCAGCTTACCTGTGTGCTGATGTACAATCCACACTGGCAATGAACCAAGTGAGCCTTTACAGTCAGGTTATTCCTGGGAAGAGCAAACAATGACACACAGAACAAGGGAAGATTTTAGCCAAAAAAAAACCCAAAACAACCTACCCTCCCATTAGATTCAGATCATTGCTCAGGCATTTTTATTTTGCAGCCTCTCTGCACATTTCTAAGCCCAGACTGCTGTAGGAGAGTGAGGAATCTGATTCCAATGCCAAGGGCTTTCTTACTTCCTACATACTGGGCAGATGACCCTGTCAGTGGCATCCAGGCCGTCGAGCATGGCGTTGAGACACTCCTCATCGAAGCGCAGGCTCCGCTCGTACTCCTCGATCACCAACTGCTCTGCAACAACACAGCACAGCAGAACTCCTCAGGGCTTGCTGGGCAGCACAGGCAAAGCTGCTGGCCAGGTGCAGGCTGGGCTGCATATGAGTTTCTAAGAACTTTTACTCTTTTGAGTCAGATTTCTACGCTTGGTGAAATCATTCCTGCTAATCCAGTTTTTTCTATGGCTCAGCTCGTCTCATATGGGTCTTTCTACCTCTTGATCAGCACTTTAGTAACATCCTGAATTGATTTATACAGGTTCCTAGAGCTAACAGATCTCCTGTTTCTCTGGCCTCTCTCACAGACCTTAAAATGCCACTTAAACTTTTAAAATTGTGAGAAGAGGTGTCAATACCCCAAAGCCTCAACAAGATTTCTAAGAAGGCTCTTCCCCTGTATCACGAGGTTTGCAGGAACCCAGGAGTGCAGCCTCAGCTATTCTGCACCACCAGGAAGTCAGGGGTGTTACGCATCACACAGAAGTGTGATTAGAAGCGCATCAGAAGATGTGTACAGATCTTACCTTGCAAGATCAGTTCCTGCTGGATCTCTTCCAGCACTGCCAGTTCATCAGGGTCCTCCAGCAGCTGAAAGGTGAATCAGTCAGCAATCCTCCCATCCCAGCCACTTTCTCACTTCCAGCATCTGACTGAGCAACATAAATCCACTTTTCCTGTCTAGTAAATCCCTCTATTTGCAAAGCCATGCACTGTGGGAAGAAAACTGTACTGTAAACACATGTGCAGAGCCAGCCAGAATGGATCCAAGTAGAGCCTTTTAAATTTGCTTTTTAAGACATTCAGCTTTCACTCCCATTCTCAGAAGAGGGAAGTGACAGACCAGCTATAAAAAGCACAGATGAGGAAACCAACCCTCTGCAGTGATCCACAGGCTGTTTGTGAAGGGAATAAAGAATTTCCCCACTCATGCCCAAAGGCACTTTCACAACTCCACACCCTGCCCGAGCTGCAGAAATAGGAAACCCTGAAGCTGTTTTCTGTGGGCTGCAGTGAGGCGCTGAAGCAGACCCGCGGGGGCTGTATGTGACACCGCTGTCACACGTGTGATGAGCTGGGGACGCGGCACTGACCTGCTCCATGGGCTGCTCCCCGCGGAGGCCGGGCAGCCGGTCCCGCAGCTCCTGCCACTCCTGCTCCATCACCTCCTGCACCAGCAGCGCCCCGCCGGCCGCGTCCCCGGCCTGCCGGTAGCGGTCCAGCAGCTTGGCCCGGCTGCTCCTCAGCCGCTCTAGGCAGCGCTGCGGGACGAGAGCGCGGGGCGTCAGCGCCGGCACTCGGCGGGACACCGGGGGAGTGCGCCCAGGGAGACCGGGAATTCCCGGGGGACACGGGGGAGGCACGGGGCTGGAGCAGCCGCGTCCCGGAGGCGCTGCAGGGGTTTGGCTGCGGGCTTAGCGGAGAGTTTCGGGCGGGGCGCGCTTCACCCGCCGCAGCGGGACCGAGCTGGGTCCGGAGAGGGAGAAGGGAGCCTAGGTGCCGCCTCCCCGCCGCCTCCCCGCTCACCCTGCGGTACGTGTCCCTCCAGGGCGGCCCGCCCGGGCTCTTGTAGCGCGCCCGGCGCTCCCGCACCGCCGCCGCCATCGCGCCGAGCCCGCGGCGCGCGGGGCACGCCGGGCAATGTAGTCCGCGGGCGGTGGCGCCGATTGGCCGCGCGGGCAGAGACGCCAGGCGGCGCGCGGGGCACGCCGGGCAATGTAGTCCGCGGGCGGCGGTGCCGATTGGCCGCGCGGGCAGAGACGCCAGGCGGCGCGCGGGGCACGCCGGGCAATGTAGTCCGCGGGCGGCGGCGCGGATTGGCCGCGCGGGCGGTGACGCCGGCGGCGCGGGGCGATGGCGGCCGAGTGCGGCCCGGCGGAGCAGTGGCGCGCGGCGCTGCCGCAGCACGCGCTGTTCGCCCGCCTCCGCGAGCGCGCGCCCGCCGCCCCCCGCCCGCCGCGCCTCCGCGACCTCCTGTGCGGGCTGGGCTCCGACCTGCTGCTCTGGGACGGGCCCGCCGCCGCCCTGGTCGCCGTCGGCCTGCGCCGCCTCGGCGGCACCGACCCCGCCGCGCTCGGCCGCTACCAGGTGCGGCCCGCGCCCGGGGACGGCTGAGCGGGGCGCTGAGGGGAGCGGGGGCGGGCGGTGTGAGGGAAGGGGGGGTCTGAAGGTGGAGGTGTGAGGGGCCATGAGGAGAGGACGGGCTGTGAGGGGCTGGCTGTGCGGGAAGAGGGGCGTGAGGGGATAAAGGAGCTGGGGGCGTTTGGGGTGTGAGGGGTCGTGTCGGGACGGGCTGGCTGTGAGGGGCTTGAGGGGATGCGAGGTGTGAGGGGAAGAGCGGTCCTGTAGGGAGGGGCTGGCGGACCGTGAGGGGATGCGAGGTGTGAGGTGTGAGGGGAGGAGGGCCATGGTGGGCACGGGGCTGAGGTGTCTGCTGCCTGAAGGAGCATCATCATCCCTCACCCGCCTTTGGGTGCCTTTCCGCAAGGAACCCACTGCTTTGTGCCTCATTCCGTGCCGTGTAAATCACCATCCAAAACAAAGGTACTTCCGCGAGTGCTTTGAGCGGCTTGTGCTTCCCTGTATCATTTCTGTTTTCAGACCCTTCTGTGCATAAATCCGCCCCTCTTTGACGTGCACCAGACGCTGCTGAGCCCCGCCCAGCACCATGTGGCGCTCATTGGTACCAAGGGGCTCATGGTGCTGGAGCTGCCCAAACGCTGGGGCAAGAATTCTGAGTTTGAAGGTGGGAAATCCACGGTCAACTGCAGGTGGGTGAGACCTCAGGAGTTAAATTACGCCCTTGTCCTGCCACTCTTCCTCCACAGCCTCCCTTTTTTGGGGTTAGGTAGATACAGAAAGCACTGGTGGAAGGTACAGGTTGTACTGGGGTTGTGGGGAAGTTATGAACAGAATTATTTTGGCTTAAATGCTTGCTGCTTGTCAAGTGACCCAAATAAATGACCTTCTAAACTTGCTGCAATTGCTGAGGAGCAAAATTCTCCTCTAGTATTCTCTAGCTTTTCACAGAATGCTTTGAGTTGGAAGAGACCTTAAAGGCCAGCAAGTTCCAAGTGCTGCTATGGATAGGGACACCTTCCATTAGACCAGGTTGCGTGGTCTTGGACATGTCCAGAGATGGGGCAGCTAAAAGCAGATCTTTGGGGGGACATAACAGAGGGCTTCAAGTTAAAGCTGCTTTCCAACTTCCAGAGTAGTACAGATAAAGACTCTGAAACCTTTTCATTGTGTCTCTAGCTCTTCTTGCCCCCACTTGCTTTAAGAAGTAGCTTGTGTGTTTCTGGTCACAGTGCAAGCTTCTGCTCTGCATTCCAGCACCATTCCTATTGCGGAACGGTTCTTCACCAGCTCAACATCCCTGACTCTAAAGCATGCAGCCTGGTACCCCTGTGACACCATGGAGCCCCACATTGTGCTCTTGACATCAGATAACACTATAAGGTAAGCCCCCTTTGTGGTGGATTATTTGAAGTGTGTTTTTTTTGTCATGTCCAGTCTTTAATTTATTGTCACTGAATTTGCATCCTGCTGTTTTTACCAGAGTTAGCATTAAAAAGGTGGGATGGGAGGGATTTCAGGCTGAGAGTGGCTGATGTGCCTGTGTCAGCAGGGAACATGCAGCACTGCCAGCAGAGTGAACATTGCTGCTGTTTCTTTGCCCAGGTTCTACAGTCTGAAGGTGCCTCACACACCCATCAAAGTGATTGTGCTTTCGGACACTGAGGAGGAGACTCTTACAATCAAAACAGGGTTGGTGTGGCTTTTTGTATTTTGAAATGCTTTTGCAGAATAAGCTCAGTATTCTCAGCTGTGTTCTGAATGAGTAAGTGATAAATGTGCCTGAAAATCTCATATGAATTCTGTAGTTGAGAATAGTTCTGTAGTTCATAGCAGAATACCTACACTTTTCCCCCTTCTTTCCCTTCTTTCCCTTCTTTCCCTTCTCTTCCTTCTCTTCCTTCTCTTCCTTCTCTTCCTTCTCTTCCTTCTCTTCCTTCTCTTCCTTCTCTTCCTTCTCTTCCTTCTCTTCCTTCNCCTTCTCTTCCTTCTCTTCCTTCTCTTCCTTCTCTTCCTTCTCTTCCTTCTCTTCCTTCTCTTCCTTCTCTTCCTTCTCTTCCTTCTCTTCCTTCCTCCATCCTTCTAAAACAAAGTGGTGACAAACTGTACAGTCAAGTGTTTGTCAGAGTAGCAGCTTGAAAAACACACATTGACTTTAAGATGGGGTTAAGAAGGGGTTTTTGAGTGAGAAATGTAGAAGGTAGATTATCTTTTTATTTCCCTCTTGGCCCGGTTGGAAACAGAACTCCTGCAGCACGGAGTGGTGTCCCTCACAGGAAGTACCAGAGCCGCTCTTGTGTCCCCTGAAGCTGTGGGGCACTGCAGAGCTGATGTGCCATGCCTGGGGTGTCACTCACACCCTTTTGTTGCTGGCAGGGCACTGCTGGGCGGGCTGGGGTTTGGCAGGGGTTTGGCAGCACCTCCCTCAGGACCTCGCTGTGCTCTCAGTCCTTGCTGACCCCAGCTGGTTGTGCCCTGTCCCAGGAGAGCCTACACAGCGTCCCTGGGCGAGACGGCCGTGGCCTTCGACTTCGGGCCGCAGGTGCCGGTGCCGAAGCACGTCCTGGGCCAGCGCGGCAGCGAGGAGGTGCTGGGCTACCCCCTGTACATCCTCTATGAGAATGGAGAGACCTTCCTCACCTACATCAGCCTGCTCCAGAGGTAGGCTCTGACCCTCGGGGCTCACGGGGTGCTTGGATATGCAGTGCTGGGGTGAGAGAGTCACCTCTCAGCTTGGCTGGGACTCTGTGAGGGATGCTGGGCTGATTTACCTTATATTGCAGCCTGTTCTCTGTGGCTGTGCTGACAGACTGGAATCCAAAACCAGTGTGTCATCCTTTCTCATCCAGACATTATGGGTGCAGCTTCCACTGCTCAGAATGCATTGTGCATTATTTACCACCAGCAATCTGATACGAAGACAGAGGGCTGTAAAAAGATCAGTGGGTCTAAGGCTGTTCAGTCTTTTGTGGCTTTCAGTTCACAGCACAGACATCCTTAGCTCTGGATGAGGCTCATTGAGCCTGGGGCATCCTAGGAAAAGGAATATTTGAGGAGCATAGGGGGCTCACAGGCATGTTCTGCAGTGGAAAGTCAGGATGATTAATCAAGAATATAAACATGATACAAGAAGGAATTACTTTAGAAAACTGAGAAGATGGTGCAAGACTTACAAGTTAGATCTTGTGTAGCTGAATGTTAAAGAGTGTGGGTTAGAAGCAGCTCTGTGTGCCTCATTACTGAAGAGATTTTTCTGCAGGCAGTGAGATGGCCTTAGTCCATCTGAAGTTCTGCCCAAAGAAATGCCACAGTACAAAATGCTGCTTGTGAAGTGCAAGAAACCAGCTGAGTAATCATTAACTTGAGCTTTCTATGAGTACTTTGTGTTCTTGTATGAAAATGTTTCCTCTTGAATTTTTGCAGTGTAGCTTTGGTTGTTTTCAGAGCATAAAATGTAATAAATGAGCTCAGATTTCTCCTCTGAGATCTCCACCAAGGAGCTGCAGGTCATACTTGCAATCTGCAGAAGTCTGTTGGGATTTAGAGCTCCAAGCCATTGCTTGCCAGCTGTGGGAATCCCCTTGCAGAGCTGGTGCTGAGAACAAACCCATCTTCCCTGCAGCACCGGCAGCCTGGGGAAGCTGCTGGGGCCCCTGCCCATGCACCCGGCTGCCGAGGACAACTACGGCTACGACGCCTGCGCCGTGCTGTGCCTGCCCTGCATCCCAAACATCCTGGTCATTGCCACCGAGTCGGGAATGCTCTACCACTGCGTGGTGCTGGATGGAGAGGAGGACGATGAGCAGGTACTTGTCTTGCTTTGGGTTGTTTTTCTGTAGGTATTTTTGTTTCTTTAATCCATGTTCCCGGCTGCAAGGTGGCAAGATGCCTGGAAGTGCGTGCCAAGTGCCAAAGCTGCATTCCTTTGGAATGAAGTAGTGAGTCTTTCTCCTGTTTCAGCCAGTCTCTGTGGCTCCCTGACACTTTAACTCCCAGTCCTATGTACCCTGACAGTAGATCAGTTTTTGATCAAATTTACTAGGATCTAATTTAAGGAGGATTTTCTAAGAAACTCTGGGTCTGAATTAATTTCTTTTAAGTAAACTTGAACTACATTTCTTGACAATTAAAACACGTAACTCTTTCTTGATGCTGTTTATGTTGGCATTCCTATTTAAATGATGTCTTGACAGAAAAATTCAATGCTCTTTACAGTCAGAAAAGTCCTGGGACCCAAGATCTGATCTTATTCCTTCCCTGTACGTGTTTGAATGTGTTGAGCTGGAACTTGCACTGAAACTGGCGACAGGAGATGAGGAAGATCCTTTGGAGTCTGACTTCTCTTGCCCAATCAAGCTGCACCAAGGTAGGGTTGTTGTTCAGCTTGTGGCTGTTTATTCCATGCATTTAGGATTCAGTTATTTGCGTGTTCTCATTGGTGTCAGACAAACAGGGGGGTCAGAGTAAGGATTTGCCTGATGCCCTCAATAAAGGAGCAAGCCTGGGATGGGCTCCAGTGTTGGCTCAAGGGCAGATTACACAT